ATCGGCAGATAATGCATTTTCTTACCTTATTACTATAACGAAGTAGCCTACTGGGTTCTCTGTAACACACAGAACGCGACGTTGCCACTTCGTGTTCGAGTACCTATTCGTCAATTATGGCTCCGGATCCACTTAGTCTAAGTAAACGTCGCATATAAATTAAATATACTCTGGATCTAAAAAATCATATTCAGTATGATTTTTCCGACCGTTGATAGATCAACAAATGTTGATCAAGTCGCTGACGAGTATATTGAAATCCTGTTAGTGCAGATCCACCGACATCACACGCGCATCAAGGATATATCAAAGTATATCAGTTTGTGCGACGAGGAGCTGAGCAAACACGTCAAATAGGTGGATCAACAATTGTTCTAACTTCTCACTGGATCAACATTTACCGTGAAAGGATGATTATATATATATATATATATATATATATATATATATATATATATATACCTATACCTATATCTTGTATAGCCAATATACAAAAACAGAATAGAAATAAATTTCAGTATAATGTATCATAATTCATAACCGAAAATTTTATATAACAATATCTTAAATATATTAAACATAATATTTAAGAAATACGGTAATAATCAGTCACTGCCTTTAAAAATGCGGAAAATGTGTACGTTTTACCATAGATTTTACTGATACACTTCTGTCCCGTAATTGCCTCTTAATTAACAGCAATCAATTTTCTTTTCCTGTTTATTTGTTTGTTATGCGATATTTTTAATTTTTTTACCTGATCAGGCAGTGTCTCGTAATTTTTGACCGGATGCAACGTTTTTATTGGCTTCTGTAAACAATATAATGTTACTTTCAGTGCAAAGTTTTTAAGAACAACTAAATATTTTTTGCCTTATCTACCTCTTTAACAGGAACCGTTATTGTTGGCCTTCCGGGTTTGCTTGTTTTACTATAAATTTGTTTCGTAGCTGTTGCCTGCCTCTAAAACAGTCATTAGACATTACTTAGGCCTGTCCTGGTGTTTCCTTTTGATTTTTTTGTAATAATATTTGAAATAGGTGATAACTGCATCTGAACATATCTGCAAACAACTTCAAACAAAGGCTTTAGACGCATTTGTCATACAATGCCTCACTGCCTGCTAGCAGTGCAGGCATTGCTGCTAGACGGCAGAAATAGGTACGAGAGAACACTACTATTACTACTAGCACAGACTCCTAGATAGAAAATCATCAACTTATCGTCCAACATCATCATCACAGACTATCAAAAGTCAACTGCTAAACATAGGGGCTTCCCCAAATACTGTCTGAGATATTTGCCATAGTCGCCACCCGCCACGATTGGTGAGCTTGTTGTCAACCGCAGTTTTTTTTAAATATTTTTGTTGTTATCAGGAAAATGCTGCTACCCAACGTTTTCATTTCCCACTGTCACCTCTTACAGCACTCACAGGAGGACTTCGATGATGTACCGTCACTACATGGCATTGTTGAAGATCTATAAATAGACACTAGCTTGCCAGGCAGACGTTGTTCTGTCCTTTTCGACGACACTTTGTCATGTCTGCTGACTAAAAATATTAAATTCCGAACCATCGCGGACAAAAAACGTGACACGTAATTCTTTTTTTTATTTTTTTTTATGGAAGACAAACGTGCACACACACTGGTAAGTGCTCGCCAAAATCTACATCTACCCAATTACGAATCAGCAGATGCGTTGTCACCCGAGGACTAACAACGATGCCACGTATAATTTATATATATTAAGATTAATATAGATAATGCGATAATAGAAATTAAATAAATTATGAAAATAAAGCTCAAGTTAATTTTGATTAATGTTGAGTATTCAAACTAGTTTCTTTACATCATAAATATTTATTACTTTCACCGATGAAGCTCTGTCGCGATCTGAACGGACGGGTCGCGACGTCTCGTTCTTTCGTGAATTTTGTCCTTTATCAGTTCTAGTTCGACTAGTAGATCTTGGACGACACTGAAAAGAATTTAGTTATTACGTGACAATGGGTGCGTTTGGCAGAAAAAAGCGCTAGCAAGCGCTTGTAAACAAAATGGCGATCGTAAGCGGTAAGCGCTGTCAAATCGTAAGTAGCTATTTTCCTCTAGGACACGAAGTTAGTTTTAACCGGGGAACCTAACCCAATTTAAATATATGTTTGTAAAGTATTCATATTAAAAACTTACCAATCATGAATTTTTAATAACATGTATATGTTTATTCATGTCATTATTTTACTTAAAACTAATATTGCACAAAAAAACTTATAAACTCTACTTCAAAATAAACAAATTAAATAAGCAAAATGGCGGATTATGTCAGCGCTACTGAAGTAGCAATCGTGTCCTGGCCGAAAACTATTTCAGAGCTTGTAAGCGCTTGCAAGCGCTTTTTTCTGCCAAACGCACCCAATATATACTTTATTTTTGTAATTAACGAGCACACAGTCCACCTGATGGTAGGTGGATGCTGTGGCCCATTAACATCTACATCTATCTTCGATTAAGAATCAAAATGCAGACGCGTTGCCACCCCTGAGGACGAAGACGATATGCCTTGTTTTCAATAAAAAGGGTCTCCACAGCTTTACACTCACCACACGAATTACAGCAGTATTAAGCTGCTATTTTACGCTGGTATTCTGTGAGAGGCTTGTTAAGCCAACCCAGTCATGTGTCATCATAAAAGAATCTATCACCCTGTCTCACCACGTGAGTGTCGTAGAAAAGGCCGCAGAAAAAGTTCGCTACAAGCATCTCCAAAAATTTCAGCTTTGAAATATCAAAGTAGTTTTGGCAAGTTAGAGCTATCAGTCATAAAATAATTAAACATCAGTCATAACATATGTCAATAAACAAATCGATACTGTGCTTGCCAAAATGAAAATAATATCGAATACTTTTAGTGTTAAGGGAGCCCTGAGCCCAACTTTGAACAGTTCTTCTGTCGGTGTTAAATTCTACTTAAAAAGAGCATAAAATTACTTCATGATGGTTGATTTTGTTCCTGTAATGAGGTTCTCTTTGCCTTTCAGGATGCAACCGTTGCGGTATCCGGCATTTAAACGGACCTCTAACTGCATCGATGATATCTGTGTGAAAGCAGAAAATCTAAAGTTGTAAATTCTTTCATCCATTTTATTTTATCGTCTGGATATTTTTTTCATAAAATTGAATTGCTGAACGAACTTAAATTTTTCATAAAATTGAATTGCTGAACGAACTTAAATTTTTCATAAAATTGAATTGCTGAACGAACTTAAATTTTTCATAAAATTGAATTGCTGAACGAACTTAAATTTTTCATAAAATTGAATTGCTGAACGAACTTAAATTTTTCATAAAATTGAATTGCTGAACGAACTTAAAAGCCACCTGGTGGTAAGTGGTTACTGCAGCCCACGGACAACTGCAGGCAAACTTCAAAATATGAAACTTACAGGTGCGTTGTTACTCTCAGAATATGAAAGCTATCATTACACATCATGACGGAACTCGAGATCGATACCATCTGTATGATTGTAAATCCACTACTGTGAGATTTACAAGAAATTTTCTTCCTCGTAAAACTCCCTTATGGCTACTACCACCAGCGATTTTTCCGGACCAATACGACTTAGGGACGTACAATAAATTTTAAATTAATTTCTCTGTTGTTGTAGTTATTCATGCATAGTCATTTACCATCAGGTGCCGCATGTTCGTTTGCCCCCTCTCATATAAAAAGACAAATCTAACGACACCTCATATGTTAAAATCCATCAAGCCGTTTAGGCTAAAGAGTGTACCAAAGAAATAGACACACATACGAGTATATACATGCTCTCGGAAAACATTACCCTTCTTTCGGGGGCATTCGGGTAAAAATAATATTACGTTCTATAGGGTTCTGATGCCACCACAACCACACGGCAAACAAAGACTTATTATACTATTGACGGCAAATCACATTTAATTACATAGTAACTGTAACTTCAAACGCATGACAAGTCATACTTATATAGTACAGTGGTGTGTTATTTGTTGGGTCAAGCTTAAAAATAAAAGAAGAGTTACCTTGTATTCTCGGCTCACCTAATACGTCTTGAGACATACTGACTTACATTATACTATGTATAATTTTTTAATCCTCAGTGAAACGTCTAAATTTTACTAAAATTTATTTCAGAACCTAATAAGATGCTTAATGACAATGTCATGACAACTTACAGAAAAATTTACAGAAACTAAGTGGTCAGTCTACAACAATAACTAAAAGTTTTAGTCAAAGAGTATATACTCTTTGACTAAAACTTTCATGATTATATTAAGCGCCTTATTCACGGTCCATCCTGCTGTACGTCCCGCCAAGGTCATGCACGACACGATACAAAACGACAATGTTAGACTTTGACGTACATCAATAATTATTATCATTTGCTAACTGGACACGCTGGATGAATTTTGTATCCAGCAAGGCAACAGCGAGCCACCCCACTACATTTCGTGTCGTGCAGATGGATAATAAGGTTGAACGTACGTCAAAGCTGTCGTGCATCAAGCATGCTAGATCGTGTGGATACTGGCCGTACAGCAGATTGTCATTTTATGTAGTAACAATGCATGCGTTCGCTCTGCTGGCATCTACCTTCAATTCAAGTTCGCAAGTTCAGCGTGACATGATTAATGAAAGAAATAAAGTATTTTGTTGCGTTTTATCACTATATTAATGACAAAAATAACTTAGGTAACTTAAAGAATAAAATGTAGACGTATTAAATTAACTTGTAGTAAGCATCCGTATTTTTTTTCTACCATAAAACTTAGCTTGCTTTTTTTTTAAATCACGGTAATATTAAAAGTATATTCTAATAAATTTGTTTAAAATCCATAAACATCCTTTCTCTTCTTTGCTGCTGACAACATCAGAAAACCACAAATTTTTGGACATTTTGATAAATCTGGTGGCATTTTAAATAACTAAAACATGCGCGCTCATTTAATTTGTTTGATTACATTTAGTGGACCAACTGGAATGGATCGTGAATAAGGTGCTTAAATCTGAACAAATTTTAGCAAAGCAGTATTTATATTTTTTTATATATTTACCAAAGATTTACATGTCACGGACTTTGTCAAACAAGGTGCAATAATAAAATATTTTTAAATTTGGAATAGTGTAGATGTTTAACAAATGGCATTCAATCTGCAATAACATCAAAATTGAAAAGGTTTCCCAATATTTAAATTTTATCCTGTATTATTTAAATTTATGATATAATCATGACGAGTGCGGCTAAATTGCAAAAGGATAAATTTTGTAAGTGTTTTATAATATGTTGCTTAAAATGAGAATAATATTTCATTTGCCCGTCGCACACAAAACGGTCCGTATCATTTTAATTAATGATGTTCAGGGCCAGCGCGGGATAACTTCTTTTTAATGGGTGTTATCTTTATATAGAAAAATAAATTACTGGCCGTTAGTCTTGTAAAAACTCAAAAATAGCTCGACCGATTTTGATAATTTTTTGTGTGTATTTGAGTGTATCCCTGGATGGTTTAAAATCTATTGGACGCGGTAGGTGGCGCTGTTGTTGAGACCCAGAAATCACCCGTTCAAAGCCGGGGTGGATCGCTAGTTATTCTAATAAATAGATTACCTATGTGTGAACACGAAAGCGCAGTACTTACTGCTCTCATTTTCCTACGGCCCACGGCTGAATACAGCCCCCCCTCCTATTTCTAAAATCGAGAATCGAATTAGGCCGCCGTACTACACAAGTGTCTTTAAAATTATTGCAAAAAGAACGCAGTTTACATAATGTAAAATTATTATCGTTTCTTTTATTGTTTGTTATCTTGCATCTTGTATTGTTATATATATATATATATATATATATATATATATATATATATATATATATATATATGTGTGTGTGTGTGTGTGTGTGTGTGATTTTGATATTAGATGAAAAGACGAATTATCTTCAATTAGATTTTCAATTAGAATTATTATCAATAAACCAGTTTTGTTTGATTATTTATTGGTATATAGATGGATCAGCACCCCGTTTGGCTCCTCGGCCGACAGCCGCTTCCGCAGCGCGGGCCGCTCGCAACGCGACTAACCGCAGCATTACAACACCTGCAACACTAAAGTCAACTTCAAGAACAACATCGTCGCTTTCAAAGGTGAAAAAACTAAAAAGAAATCATCTAACTAAATCATTTATTTAACTACTTCATCTTTAAATCCCAGTTACTAGGCTACTTTGAATATTAGGGCTTCAGCTTGAAAAAATCATTTCATTTGTTTCATTTTTTTAAAACGTTACCTCCGCACTAAAATTTTATCCGGTAATGTGGATGCAGTTTACAAACATAAATTGCACAAGGACAAACATCCAGACCCGGAACAATTATTTGTAGATCATACAAATACTTATGTATATTACATATTTATTTGTAGATCATATGAACAGCGAAGTAAGGCCGGAGTATTGTTTTTATAAGGGTGCAAAATGAGCACACAGTCTACCTGATAGTAAGTGGTTGCTATGGCCCATAGACATCGACAACTATCCTCGATTACGAACTGCAGATGCGTTGTTACATGTGAAGACAAAGATGGAATGCCTCGTTTCCAGTAAAGAGGCTCTTCAGTTTTTTTTTCACTTACCATTCGAAACACAGCAGCGCTAAGCTGCTATTTTACGCTGGTTTACTGTGAGAGCGTGGTCCTTACCTGGTCGAGCCGAACCATTTGTGCTACAACTTTAGTATAGCTCGCAACATAGATCTACCATGTAAATATATATAATCGATTTTCGAGAAGGTTAAGTAACGGGTTTGTATTTACTGTAAAAAAGTCACTCAAGTGATGCTTTACGAGTAAGCGATAGGCCTATTGTTGTCTATACTCTTACAATGGCCACCTCTCTTCAAGGACTGTTGGATTATGCATCAAAAGTGCTCTGAGCGCTACATTGTAAACCCCATCATTATACTATATTTAAATGTTGTGAAATGTTACAAATACATTTTGTTTACAGGCTAAATGTGAGGCTCAGCACAATTACCAAAAATCAGAGTTAACTAACGAGGTCAACGTGGATAACCTACAAGTAAATTATAATATATAATATAAGAAATATTAATTATAATATATAATATAAAATATAATATAAGAAACAAATATACTCAGATATCAGTTTTTTTTGCTATTTAAGCCAGTGCTTGAGTACTGTTCCACCTGGTGGTAAGTGGAAATATTGCCGAAGATGGTATGGCGCACTAACTGCCGTCTATTTTCTCTGAAGTTAGGTGCTGTTAGCCAGAGAAAGGGCACGAAGTTACTCGTAGTATAAAATCCTATTCACACTTGCCTTGGAGGCACCCTCCCACATTGTAATCGGATGAAAAGACAGATGCTGACAAATTATTCCACTTCGTTGTGGTACTCATTACAAACGATAAAGTAAACCGTCGTTCGAGTTAGTATGTCGACAATGATTTAATAACGGACTGGCGATGACTACGTTATAAAACAGGAAACACAAATTAATGAAAAGCAAATGCAAGATAACCAACTCAATGACTTTAGCAGAGTGTTCAAAGAGTAAGTAGGTACTACGGAAATAGTGGCCCCAAAGGACAAAATCACGATAAACAAGATAATCGAACAAATGATAGAATGATGTCTTTACGCCTCCCGCGCGGTCCAGCTAGACGGATGGACTTCGTTCGGGAAGGCCCAGCTAACTTGTCAGCAGCGGGGATGACTCCTCTTGGGAATGATTGGCTTAGTCCTCTTCTTCGATGGTTACAATTAGGGATGTTGTTAGTGGAGACGTAGTTTATGGTCAGTTCTCGAGGGAGCACCCTTCTCTCGGGGCGATGTCGATGAAATGTTTGTATTTTGATGCATCGGTGCGCGCGGACATATTAGTTGCGAGGCGCGGCACGAAGGCTTTGAAATTTTCAACTTACAGGTCGCGTCGCCCCCTTTTCCTCTTCCTACCCAAAATACAATAATATATTAATGAATATAATCTCATTTATTTTTTACAGATAAAGCTAAACAACAATCTTAGAATCTGCCTGACGGTGTGTCTTGTTAGTTTATGGTCAATGATGATGCCCAGGTATTCGACCGTTGTCGACCAATCTATTTCTTCGTTTTACAGCTTCAGTTTACTTGGAAGTCTTCGGAAGGTTTTCGATGACGATAGCCTGTGTTTTCCTGACATTCACTGACAACTTCCAGACGTGAGCTAGGTAGGTAGGGTGTTCATGGTTTTCTGAAGATTCGTGACTGCGTAGGTGGCGTTTAGCAACTTTTCAATGTGGTCTAAATCGTCGGCTTAAAGATCACCGCGTCCACCTTAGGAGTTTCATCGGTGAAGACGGAATAGCAGGTTGGAGAGAGGCAGTTTCCTTGTGGAAACCCGGCTTCCACTCTTCTATCGTATCCATCAAAGGATTTTTCCATGTCCAGTAGCACCACTATTACGGTGTGAGAGTTGGGACGTCGTTGTATATTCGACTAAACCCAAATTGTTCTTACCAGATGGTAGTATCTATTACAGGAGATTTTTTGAACACTTCCAAGTAATGGTTTTTCCTAGCTTATGAATCACTATGGTTCGACCAAGCTTCAAAGTTTCGGGGAAATCCCCCGTGTGCAGTGTTTCGTTAAATAGTCAACGTAACCAGTTCGAATTTCACTCTTTGCGAAATTTGTACTAATTGAAATATACAATATACTAAAGTAAATACTTCAAACAATTAAAAATTGCGGGCGTAGTTGACGATGCTCTAGCACAAAATAGCAGCGCCACGGTCATCGACGCACACTACGATATCACCGAAACGAGACGGAGCGCGCGAAATAAATTGTAACAGGTCCGACCTCGAGAGCTGCTGGCGCAGTAGTGAATTCAGTTTTTTTTTATAGGATAGGGTGACAAACGAGCACACAGTCCACCTGATGGTAAGTGGTTGCTGCGGCCCATAGACATCTACATCTATCCCCGATTGCAAATTTGCAAAATCAAAATGAAGATGCCTTGCCATCCGTAAGGACTAAGATGGAGTGCCTCGTTTCCAGTAAAAAGGGTCTCCGGTTCTCTACACTCACCATACGAAACACGGGAGCATTAAGCTACTATTTTACGCTGGTATTCTGTGAGAGCGTAGACCACGCCGCCTCGGTCCCCCCGTCGAGCCGGCCCATTCGTGCTACAACTATACGAGTACTACTAATATAACTGCAACATGGCTCTACCACGTACAAAATGGCCGACGCAGTGAAATGTATGGTACTATTATTTAATTAATTAAAAAATAATAGTAACAATTAAAAGAGTAAAAATCATAGTATAGTTTAAGCAAATGTTGATGAATATTTTGGTATAAATTTTACGTCTAAATGTAGAACTTCGGAGATTTTGGGGCTTGTATCGAAGATTTTTCAGTAGATAATTGAATTATGTCAATTTTTTTCCTTGCGTGAAAGGTATACAACGAAAATGTATTTTATTATATTTAAGTATAGAATATTTGTGACACAAAAATTTTTTTTGATGATCGATATTCAATAGAATCTACAAATTCTCTTAGAGACATGATTTGAGAGCTCCCAAATCATGTCTCTCAGAGTTTTGGCCTAAACGTGCATCGGAAGAATGATTATTACTAAATAAATAAACAAGTTATGTAAAATGTGCCTTGAGCTCATTGTAGAAGAGAAAACGAACTATTTTTACCAAGTAATTATTATTTCAAGCAACTAACGAAAAACGTATAATTTTAACGGGGAAACCTTGTAATTTCGCGTTTTTTGGTAATCCTCTTAAGTATTATTTTTTAATCTTGCTTTTCGTTTTAGATTGTCAAAAGATGCAGTGAAAACGATATTCGAAGCGTGAAGCACGTTACAATTAATGACGAGGTAATAAATAACTTACTTGTATTCCAAAGAGTGACAAAGCAAATTTATATGGCAGATGTGAACGGCCGAGTCGGGAAGGGACGCGCTAGAAAAAAGTTTATCTACCAAATTGGCGATATTTTGAAAAGGGGCCACGTTAGAAGTACCCTTAACCGACGAGCATGTATGCGTAGATATATGGATGTAAAGGTGGCGAAAGAGGTATGTCAGGATCGTGCCAAATGGAAGTCCGTAGTCTCTGCCTACCCCTCTGGGTGACAGGCGTGAGTGTTTATGTATGTATTGTATTCCATGACAATTTCGTTAACTACAACAACATATTCAACTAAAATAGACGTCTCTACAGGACGTATTAAATTATCAATTCTTTTTTAATTCAAAATATTGGGAAGATACATAAAACTAAAAATTTTACTTCTAAAAGTCGACTTCAAAAAATTAACAAAGGTAAAATAATTTCTACCTATTTGCTTCTAAGTTGATGCTAAGACATGGTGTACCGAAGGTTTAAAACCCAAACCAGAATGAGTGGTACATCGGATTTGGTCATTTTGGTGACAATGGGCTTGTTCTGTATCTGTAAACAATTTATTCCCAGAATAAGATATAGGGGGTCAGTGGCGAAGCCTCCATAGAAGCCGAGAAGCCGGGCTTGCCTTATCAAATTGAATCAATCAATCATACCAACAAATAAAATATCTCGTAAACTGTTTCAAACTATTTCAACCACGCGCTCCTCTGTTCGACATAGGTCATGACCTCATATAGCCTTGGCTCCTTACTCTGTGGCCTTAGCGGTACTGCTGTCATAAAAAAATACTTTTAATTGTGCGATTAGTTGTCTTTCTTGCACGCGTGGGCTTTTTACGGGGCTTTCGAGAAGACGATCGCTCCCTTTCTAACCTGTTGCAAAATGTTCTATAATGAAATATAACTACGATTGTGTATATGACAATTAGTATAGACAGAAGAAGCCAGGCTTTAGGAATGAAGTTGTCGAGAGCGGGGGCGCGCGGGCAATACGTTTGCAAGTTCACTTCACATTTTAATGTCGTGTTTTCTTTGTTTACTCTGTGTTTAGTTTGAGCGATTTAATATTGCGAGTTGAAAATTTATGTTTTTTAAAGATTTTTAGTGAAAATTGAGGATAATAGTGTTCCTTGTGATGAATTGAAGTGTATTAAAATGCTAATCGGGGAGGAAAAGGTAAAATCTTTAAACTTTGTTGAGAAAATACACAAGGTCAAGAGCGTCTTTCAGACTTATCAACTATTGCAATTAAAAAACGGTTATTGGTACAATTAAGACGTTCACCAACATTTTACGCGGACGTAATCAAACCTTCCCTTAAAAAAGAGGGACGATTCGATTTAGAATATAAATAATTAGTTTTTTTTTAATTTTGTACATAGTTTGTTCATGCTTTACTTTTGTTCATGTATCGTATTGTATGTAAATATCTTTTTCTTTCGCTCAAATAAACCCAAACGGTTTTTTTTTCAAAGCCACGAAAGGTATGCTGATATGTCATACGATCTATCTAGCAGTAGTATGCTTTCTGTGGGCTTTGTTAAACAAGTTCTCGATAGCACTGAATATGAAACTGAAGATTGGAGACCGATCAAGATTGGTGTATTTTTATAAAACTGCTAAAAAGAACAAAACCATATCTTGGGCTTGCCCTAGTTTGGAGCCCTAACTTCCCCACTGTCTGGGGTAATCTTTATTTGAGTTGTGTCGGTTTCTCAAAGTTCTAATAGTCCTATCCTGGAGTCTCATAGAAAATTCACCAATTTTGCCGAGCCTATTACTACTTCATTTGTGACATTTAACAAATACCAAGAATTTGCTATTACAAACTGCTTTTTTAACCGACTTCAAAAAAGGAAGAGGTAACAATTCGACCGTATGTTTTTTGTATTTTACGCGATATCTTCGTCATATATGTATCGATTTTGATGATTCTCTTTTTATTAAATAAATTATACTTTAAGATTAGAACCTGCTTAAATTTTTTCTAATCATGTCACGGCACTCTTCCACGCGGGTCCGCTTTTGTGCATCGTTAAGTTGTGAGAAGAAACATTTGCGTTGGGTTCCACGCGAAGTTTTTCTTCTCACGTGAGTGATAGTATACAATTTATTACACGCTTCTCGATCCCCGATCATTATGCGTTGAATCTCTTTATGCGTACTTAGTCTCTTCAATTCAATGTTTTACTGTCTGCCTTTTTTTGTAACAGTCGTCAAAGGGTTACCAGTTCTTTCTTCATCTATCAAAGTTAGTCGATGTACTGAAATTATTAGACCAGCGATACGCAGTAGCCCTAGAAGAGCCTTTACTCATAAATGCCATTTGAAGTTACAAACGAATCGTTCGACATAAAATATCATCGTACGAAAATTTTCTCAACGCGAACTTTTCAATAAAACACAACATTTAAATTTAGCTTGAAAAATATTGTGGAGGGAAATTTGAAATTAGAACATACTTACGCATGTTTAGTTGTCAATATTCAAATTTTCAAAATAAATCATAACTGGTCAGCGTCTTATACAAAAAGAAATTTGCTAAAAAATGTCTACGTGACTTACCTAAGCTTAAAAGCGTAAAGCGTAAGCTTGTTTTGCTGTTTTAGATTATTTTCGTTATATAATATGAATTAGCTTATTTCACACAAAATTGTTAATCTTCTTTTTTATTTTGCATCACAGAATAATATTTTCACAAATCCGGAAGTTAATGAACCTGGTGAAGTATGCGTAACTGAAGTCTCTTCAGCAGCGGCCGTTGAAGAACCGTCCAATAATAACAACTATTCCGTTGAAACACCTGACGAATCGATAAGTAATCACTTTTTCTCTTTAGCTCGGAAAATAATTTCAAAAAAAAATTCTTGAAACTATCGATAATTGTTATTTTAGGTATACATTCTAAACTGTGTTATGTAGAAACTACGACCAAACTTTTTGCTTTCAGAAATAACAGATGACCAAGACAAAATCCAAAGTAGTACTGAAATAATTCGGTTACCAGGTAAGAACCAACTTCTTATAAAAACTATACTATATTAAAAACTATAGGCTAATTTTTATCAACCAATGCATCAATACTTTCAGAAAGCGATAAAAAGAAATCTGAGCCTTCGTCTAGAGTAAGCAGTCGTCCACAAACACCAAAAAGTTTGCAATCAAGTCTATCTCGAACACAACGGATTTCAAGCCGACCAGCAACACCCGCAAATTTATCACAAAAAATTGCTACAACGCCTAGTCGTCCAAATACCCCACATCGATCTTCTCTCCCTCGGCCTAAAAACACTACTGCATTGAAATCTTCTCCTCGCTCTCAAACGCTACTTGAAAATAACAAATCATCAAAGAACTTAAACAATGATCCTGAAGATATTACAACGATATACAATACTAAACAAAGAGAATTTCATCACATGAAAAAGGAATTAGATATGAAACAGGTATTGAATTTTTTGCTGCGTTGTTTAGCTTAGGGATATTTATTACTTACGCTACGATAAAAAATCATAAATTTTCCTCTTGTGCGTACCACATGGTACAGAAATGTATGCACCATGTTTTCATAGTACTCAGGCGTTTCGTTAAAAGATGTCACCTTTTTACTTATATCTATAGATATAAATAAAATTGAGGTGTCGTCAGCATTATTAATGTAACTAGCTTCTTTGATTAAAACTACTTTTACGGATTTTATCGCGTTTTATTTATATTAATTTTAATACCCGACGTTTCGGGTGCTTTCCAGCACCCATGGTCACGGGGGACTGAGGTGACTGACGTCCTGATGTCAAAGTTAATCCGGAGTACCTTCAGCTTTTTAATTATTATCTTTGGTCCGATCTACGCAGAATGAACGAACTGTATTTTGAAGTCTTGCAGTGGTATGCTTGGGTTTAGTTTTAATTTTATTAATTATAGGATCCCAAGCAGGTGGTAGTACCCAGCCGCCTTCTCTATTGAAATTAGGATGTTTTTCAATTTCAATAGCCTCACGTATCATCCTTGGTAGGAATCGATGTTCTTTCGCGAGGATTTGTGGTCTATCAAATCTGATGTAATGGTTGGGGCCATCTAGAATATTATCGCAAACTGCAGACTTCCCGGAACGTTGATGCTCACGTCAGCTATGTGTTCTTTTACTCGGGTTCTAATTGATCTCTTTGTTTGCCCTATATATGAGAGACTACAATCACAATCAAGCTTGTACACTCCTGCATCTTGCGGAGGGACATTACACTTGAAGAATGGTAAGAACTGACTAATCTTCTTCGGCGACTTGTAGAATGTTCTAATAGAAGCTCGCTTCAAGATGTAGCCAATCTTGTCTGTGATACCACTGACATATGGTAGTACAGCAGGCACACGCTAGACTGTGGCCGGCTTCACTCGGTCGCTGTGACGGAGGCGCGGGACCCGAAGCTTGTTGTCGTGCAGAACCTGCTTGACGAGCTGAAGCTCGGCGGCCAGGTGTTTTTTTACACCGCGAAGAATCCCGTATGAAGACATTATCTGTAGTGTTGAGGATTGTCTGTATAAAAATAATATTGGTAATGAAGATTTAGAGGCCATACGCCAAGAAATTTCGTCTATATTACGTCGAAATACAGTGCCGAAATTAAATCTTTCCAAAAATTAATTTAACGCGTTAAAAACCTTACGCAACAGACCAGAGCTTACGATTCTCCGCGCAGATAAAGGAAATACTACGGTTGTAATGGATACGTCGGATTACAATTTACAACAACTTTTGTCAGATGAAAGTACATACCGTAAGGTCGAAACAGACCCTACAAGTAATACGCTTAAAACAACTAGCGATCTAATTAAGAAATACTTCGAGAAATTGAATCTAGACGTCAATTCGATGATACCTTCGTATGCAAAACCTCCCAAGTTGTATGGGTTACCAAAAATACACAAACCTAACGCTCCATTACGTCAAATAGTGAGTCAAATCGATTCGCCAACGTACAGATTGGCTCAACACTTAGCCAAAATATTATCACCACTCAGAGGACACACAAGAGCACATACTAAGGATTCATACCATTTTGTCAGTGAGATAAAAGACCTACGTCTTGCTGACAATGCAACCATGGTCAGTTTTGATGTTCAGTCTCTATTTACATGCCTACCTGTTGAAGACTGCATCTCAATTATAACTAGGAAACTAGATGAAAATAACATGCCACCAGAATATGCAGTACTACTAAGACATTGCCTTACATCTGGCTATCTATTGTGGAAGGAAGAGTTTTACAAGCAAGTAGAAGGTGTTGCGATGGGCTCATCTGTATCTCCCATTGTCGCCGATATATTCATGGAAGACTTTGAGGAGAAAGCCCTCCTTACTGCACCTGTTACCCCCCAAGGTTCTACAAGCGGTACGTAGACGATACTTTCACAATTTTACCATCGGACAAAGTAACTGCATTTATAGAACATCTTAATTCCATAAACCCTAAAATTCAATTTACTATGGAGTTAGAGGCAAATAATTCCTTAGCTTTCCTAGATGTGTTAGTCATCCGAAATCCTAACAACACCATAGGTCATACTGTGTATAGAAAAAAGACCCATACAAACCGATACTTAAATGGTGAATCTCACCATCATCCTTCACAGTTAGCTACCGTGGGCAAATCTTTGTTTCAGAGAGCACGAGGGATCTGTGACAGAAAACACCTGGCCGCCGAGCTTCAGCTCGTCAAGCAGGTTCTGCACGACAACAAGCTTCGGGTCCCGCGCCTCCGTCACAGTGACCGAGTGAAGCCGGCCACAGTCGAGCGTGTGCCTGCTGTACTACCATATATCAGTGGTGTCACAGACAAGATTGGCTACATCTTGAAGTGAGCTTCTATTAGAACATACTACAAGCCGCCGAAGAAGATTAGTCAGTTCTTGCCATCCTTCAAGTGTAATGTCCCTCCGCAAGATGCTGGAGTGTACAAGCTTGATTTTGATTGTAGTCTCTCATATATAGGGCAAACAAAGAGATCAATTAGAACCCGCGTAAAAGAACACACTGACGTGAAGCATCAACGATCCGGGAAGTCTGCAGTTTGCGATCATATTCTAGATGTCCCCAACCATTACATCAGATTTGATAGACCACAAATCCTCGCGAAAGAACATCGATTCCTACCAAGGATGATACGTGAGGCTATTGAAATTAAAAAACATCCTAATTTCAATAGAGAAGGCGGCTGGGTACTACCACCTGCTTGGGATCCTATAATTAATAAAATTAAAACTAAACCCAAGCATACCACTGCAAGACTTCAAAATACAGTTCGTTCATTCTGCGTAGATCGCACCAAAGATAATAATTAAAAAGCTGAAGGTACTCCGGATTAACTTTGACATCAGGACGTCAGTCACCTCAGTCCCCCGTGACCATGGGTGCTGGAAAGCACCCGAAACGTCGGGTATTAAAATTAATATAAATAAAACGCGATAAAATCCGTAAAAGTAGTTTTAATCAATGTATAGTGTTCGCGTAAATATAAGAAATCATTATGTAACTAGCTTCTATTAAATTATTTGCATGTTATTAAAACACAAAAAGCCATTTTTCAAGTTTTTGCATGTCTGTCTATCTGTCTGTCCGTTCTCATCGGAACCGTTTGTAATGAAATTGACGAACAAATACAGAGTAATGCCAGGAGTGATAGCAATATTTTATCTGTGAAACTTGGAGACATTATAGAAAAATATATCTTCAAATTGATAAATGTATATATACGTTATACGTTACATTAATAGGTCCAGTTGAAGCCGAGGCACGTCGTTTGTTATTAAATAAATCATTAACTTACTGTATTTAAGTATGTAAGCATCTCATTAAGCCATTTATTAATTAATTACATTCTTATCATGGCTTGATGGCTGGCTGTCCACTAAAATGCGACTTGCGCGGAATATTCTGTTTCGCACGATCACACTGTGAAATTTACCGTCGCCAGCGGTGTTTCCGGACCGATACGACCAACTTCGGGAATTTCAAAAAAAGAACCTACTCCTTTCTTAAAGGCCAGCAAATGAATTTGAAATTCCCCTGGTGTTGCGTATGTTTGCGAGCTCGTTTATCTCCTCTTTCATTAAAAAAAACCGATTATGGGTGATCTGCTTTTGTGGACAAACAGAGATTGATTCCCAAAAGAGAGACTTAATTTTAGGAATTTTTTGTACCCAACAGAACCCTTTGTGTTAGGATTTGGTCAGTGTGCATAGTTGGTTATTTCGCGAAGTGTGTTTTTGTATATCTCATTTTTAATAATTTGTAGTGTGATCATAGAGAATTGCTGTGTGGTATCGACATAATAAAATCCGTCATCTCATGTCGTCACGTGTGTAAGCTTCCAACAGATGAAGGAATAACCATCTTGTTTATGCTAGACGTAAAATATTGGTACCGGCGAATACATGTAGCAGTGTAAAAATTATAAGACATGAAGAACTGTGATTGCGAATCCATCTGCCAAGCGTGGTGATCAAAACAAATGGGAAGATGCCAGTGGACTGACGCACAGTCATATCAACCCATACGTCAAAAAAGATGCCACAGTGGACACAGTGGATCAGCCCATACGTCAAAATCTTTTAACCCGGCTCTATGTGACCCAAAAATATTATGCTCCTTTTAGGGCAATCAGATCACGAAGCTGCGGTTACCATTACAGCCTCATTGAAAAAGTCCACTGCTGAACATAGGCCTTCCGCATAGATTAGATAGGGAGGATATATGCCATTGTTGCCACGCTTGGCAAGCGGGTTGCGAACCGCAGTTTTTTTTTTTTAATTTTAGTCATTATTAGAAAGACGCTACTGCCAATCCCTTGTATTATTGAACGGTATTTGAAGTTAATTTAAATCAATTATCAGGTTTATTACGTATTGTATATGTATCCATAAAAATTTACAGTATATACAAACTCACTGTATATTTAATTTCAGCAAGCGATATTGGAAATGTTTAATATTCTACAAAGTTTACAAGATCGTATGGCGAAGGAAGGGATATCTGGTGAAGGCGAGGGAATATCAAAACAAGAACTAGTGATACTGAACGTCACTGACTGGGCAGCTGAGGAAGTATCCCAGTTATGTAACAATGCCCATCCTTCTGTGGAAGGAGCTGGAGAAATCATAAACACAATGATACCTATTGGTACCGTTTTATTATTTTATTATTTATTTTTAAGTATATATAAAACATTAAATGTCATAACCGTGATAGGTTAGCGTCCTCCCTAAAATTTTATTGTACGCGAGCAGTTGGAGTTCTATGCTCGTCGACACTAATAAACAATTTTAAACGGTGATTTACTATGTATATGGTTATAAAATAGAACGATATTACGATAACGCGCGACAGACTTTCTGCCAAAATAGCCACTTAGGCGATGAAAGGAGGCCTATGCTCAATGGTAGGACGTAATATAGCTAACTACAGTTTATTTTGCCAATCATAGATTACAGATATTCATAACCAAGTTTTTGTTATTTATGCCAAAATGAACCTTAAGGTCAATGTTTTAGAATAGTGAACAGTTACGGTAAAATTAAAAAACGGCTAATCATGATCACCGGTCGATTTAATTATTTCAACACCTTTTATCATATTGCCTACTCATATTGGAAATTTTTCAAACCGTCTGGACTATATAAATAATGCCTTATTAATCACTTTATCCGTAACATATATATAAGGTTCGATTTCTATTACAAACTGATTTTAATTTCTTCAACTACTTACTATAAATCTGGGTTTTATTAATTTTTTTAGATGAGAACATCTTATCAGAATGGGATGCAAAAGTATCTAATTTGTCGGAAAATTACGCAGATTTATGTCTACAAGCGTTCACAGCTCGTCAAGAGATTATAGACTGGGTTAAAGATGTAATAGCAAAGGTAAGTTTTTCTATAACTAATATCAATGAATTACAATAAACATCATCACGATTAGCCCATACAATGTTAAACATGTTCCTCTCATAAATTGTTACAACAAGCTTTTACAATTAAATTACAAGAATACACCTAATCTCAACTTTTAGATGCACCTTATTGTAGCCTCATATACCTAGGTATAATATACATAAACTTATGAGCTTTGCAAAGGAAATTTTTAATAGAAACTAATATTCCTTTATGATGTAATAGTTTCTTGTTATCATATTATTTATAATAAAAAAGAAAGGTTTTTATATCTTGTATGTATTTTAATGGTTTAAAATTTTGAAATGTAATTTACAATGGAAAACCGATCAAGTTTAGAGACTACTAAAAGTATAAATGAAGTAGCAATTTAATGCTACTTCATTTATACTAATAATAACTACTTAATTAATCTTTATAGCAAGATGCAATAAATGAAGAGGATTTGACGCGTATTACTGCTTATAACACCCAAGGTCTTGAGCTATGCGACCTGCTTCGTGAACTGAAAAACCGAGCGGATGAATCTGTGCATGGAATTTCGCTTCTGTTGAAGTAAGTTAAGCACATTATAGTTATTTTCAATGTTATAAACTTATTGAGAAATAATATTTGCCATCAATGTTTTTAATAATTGTAATTTTATCGCATATACCTCAGCAAGTGGATATTTCAGCAGAAATAAGATCCTATGATATAGCAATGTTCTTTTTTTCACTTTATGACATGATCTTAATCTAAATTCTGCGCACAGGGAAATAAAAGTCCATCTTTTCTAGACTATTGATTTATAAATTAGAATGTATCTTTACTGACGTATCTTAATGGCCGTATTGTGACAAATCACTCTGTGGATATTGTAAGATCAACTGCTAAGGCTTATGCTTGTGTACTACTTATAGGCTGTAATGAATAAATTAATGAATGATTTATAAATTCAGAGTATTTGAATTTATACATATACTAGCTTGTCAGGCAGACATTGTTCTGCCCTTTTCGACTACACTTTGTCATGCCCTATTAAAAATCCTTAAATCCGCAAAAGAAAAGAAAGAAAGAAAAAACTACCCTATCTCTCAAGTTGGACCAAACTGCACACGGTGTGCAAATTTGATTAAAATCGGTTAAGTAGTTTAGGAGTCCATCGCGGACAAACAATGTGACACGTAATTTACATATATATTAAGATTATCCCTTACAGAAAAGCATGTCAGGAACGCGGACTATTGATCTCAGTGGGAGAATCACTAGTGAAAGAACTGGCGCGTCTAAGACAAGATATAGAATTGCACTCTGCAGTAACAATGGAATTTAATGCAATTAGCGCCGCGGAATCTGAAACAGCTAAAGCACTTGAGGTATGTGTGATACTTAATATAGGTAGTGATAAAATTCTCTGTCTTGTGGACTTGACCCTTATTACACCATTGTGTTAATAAAGTTAAGTAGAAATAAGTTTTTTTTTTCAATATATTAAGATCGCAAGTCAATTAATACGTAGAGTCGGAACACATGGGACAAAGAATACAATTTTTTTTTTAATGAAGAGGGGGCAAACGAGCATGCGGCTCACCTGATGTTAAGTGACTACCGCCGCCCATGATCAACCGCAACACCAGGGGAATTGCAGGTGCGTTGCCGGCCCTTTAGAAAGGAGTAAGCTCTTTTCTTGAAGTCAGGTCGTATCGGAGGAAGAATCGCTGGTGGTAAACTATTCCACAGAGAGGTTGTACGCGGAAGAAAACTCCTCTTGAAACGTACAGTGGTGGACCGCCAAGCATCCAGATGGTGCTTGGCGGTCCAATAAAAAGATACAATCATATTTGAATCTCAAAAATTTGTGTCATCACATTGAGTCCGGACGGCATTTGAACTCAGTACTTGCGATGTATTAGCCGGATACTCTATGTCAACCGGTTGTCAAGAATCACACATTTTCCCCCAAATATATCGACGCCCCAGAAAACCACAAATCTGTAATCAGAAAATAGTTTTACATTGGAATATTGTAATGAAATGGAAATAGAATTGGAATATTAAAGTGACTGATATATCAATTAAAATTATTTTTTTATAGTAATCTGATTTCGATGTTAGCGTTAAGTTAAATAATTATATCAAGTTACATGAGAAAATAAAAATTAACTAAAATGCGCTAACAATGTGTGTTTCGTTATTGTTATTTGTATAAAAAGGGTTATTATAATATTAAGGAATATATGGAAGGGTGATCGCTACCACGCTATTTCTAATCTTGTGTTGTTAATTGTGAACATGATTGTAAACTATTATTCGAAAAAAAAAAATAGTCCCGCTGGGTTTCTTGCTGGTTCTTCCCAGGACAGAGGTTTTTTTAATTAAAAAAACTTTTATTTCTTTTAATTAACTTACGGGATTGTTGTGATAAATTTCTCAGCAGTGATATTATAGTAACATTATACTACTACATTATACTACTTTACATACATTATACTACTGACTTATGGGATAATTTTATTTTTAATTTAAAGGCATTTAATATGCTATAACAAAATTATTGTGGTGAGTTAAAATAGGTAAGACAAATGCAAGGACAGAAAAGTCTGTTTTTGCAGTAAAAATTCAAATTCATAATTTCTAAAGGTCATAGCCATACACGCTAGGGTGTAGCTGTCAGGTTCGCCTGCAGTTACATTCGTCAGGTAAGCTTGAGCTGAATTAAGGAATATGTCATCTAGTACGTAGTAGTAGTAAGTAAGTAGCGGTTACCCTGCACAAGCTCGCACTCGAACTCGAAGCAACGGCATAATAAAGGTTAATTGTTTGTTTTATTTATATATTAGTTATATATATAAGAAAAGGAAATTTAAACGAAGATATTGCGAATTGTGGGTTTGAAGCATAGTCACTGCAAAGAAAACGATACAGGCACGTCAAAATATTGAGAGAATAAAAATTTGAATGGCATGACTAAAGACGTATCTCAAACTGTTATCAGCGGTAGGTATTTTAATTCAAAAGCGGGATACAGTACAGAGAAAAGTTATATTGAGTTATATCGCCTCATAAAAGGTTAACAGTAGCGTTAAGACACCTTGCAAAAGGGAAAACATACGAAAGTCTCAAATATTCTGCCGTGCCACAACGTGCCACACATGCTCAGTTTTGCTTGCACAGTTAAACTGCACAGATATATAATGATTTCTTATATTTACGCGAACACTACACATTGAAATAATACCAGTTTTTACGGAATTTATCGCGTATATTTAACTTTTTAATTACGAGAAACGTCGGGTAATTAAAAAGTTAAATATACGCGATAAATTCCGTAAAAACTAGTATTATTTCAATGCACAGATATACCCACGTGCAAAAAATATCATAATTTATGTAATTTTGGGTTGCCTGTATATAGGTGTGTAAATCTGCACAATAATAATTATGCAACATACTACATATGACTACATAATATACATGGCTACCTTAAGTAATCGTCTAATACTAGCAAACTTTTTGAGAGATAGGTACATATTAAAGTGTAACGTCAAATTTTATGAAAAAAAATGATTATAATCATATCAATTTGTATTATGTTATTAAAATCACACAAAGTCACCATGTAAGCGTAATAATATTTTAATTTTAACCAAAAACAAAATTGATATGAGATTCAAAAGGGTAACCCAAATTAAATTGTAGGTATATTCGATACCCAGCTGTATCCATTTCTGCCTTTTCAGTCCGGTCTTTTCTTTTTTTTTTTCTTAAATGTGATGTGTATTTTTGTGATTATATTTAATATAGGCTTTTATTGTATGATCAGCCTCTTCAAACCAATAACCATCGTACATGTAGATTTTATTAGACACATAAGTTTGAGAAATTAATATTTATTTTGTATGAAAAACTGGAAATCTTTCTCTATATCTATTATTTTCTAACGGTATGTAACGATATGATGATGTGTCTTAGGGGGCATCCGTAAATTACGTGAGATGTTTAAGGGGGAGGGGCGGTCGAGTCAAATCTCATCTAATCTTACGTTGGAGAGAGGGGGGGTCTTGGCAAATATCACGCAATTTTTTTTCTGTTTGAAACAAAAAAAAATACTATTTTGGTCCATTTAATCCAGATTGTACATGCTTAAGCTTTAATCTTAAGCGTATATCGTAATACGATTAACCACTACTAAATGTCAGATTATTAAACCAATTAGTCAAACCTACGGTCAAGCCAGAGAGTATAGTAGTAGATTTGGCCAAAGACAATTTTTTTAATAAAGGAAAATATAACTTAGAGTTATTACTATATTCTTATCCAAAAATTAAAATTATCAACAATTGAAATATGGAATTATTTGTATAAAGGTCATGTGAGCGCTAAAGAAACGAGGATTTTAAGACGTTGATAAATAAAATGTTTAATGAAATAGTACAATAAAAATAGAATTTAACTTTGCACTAGATTTCCGATCCAATTTTATTTTTTATAAGGTTTAGCATCACTTACTCGCATAAAACATTGAAGTAATATGTACTTACGTACTAGAACAGCTATTTCAAACAAAAAATGTGCGCTACTCTGTGTTCGCGCGGTTGTTTTTTTATCATAGAATAAACATAGGTAGAATGATCCGTAGATTGTATTTTTAAATAGTTAAATTATATGCTGAACAATATTTAAATTATGTCACATATTTTGTATATATATTTGCTTATTTACTATAGTATTACATAATATCATAATTACATTTGTATTATACATATACAATGATATTTTTATCTGAATATTTTAAAAGGTATCTATGTCAAATATAAAAAACATACTAAATGTATGTTTAGCAAAACTTATTAACATAACGTTTAAATTACAAATATATTTATTTAAATTAGAATAAGAGTCGTTCATAAATGCTAGGCATGCAGTTAAAAATGGACGAATTTATTCCACTTTGACTTTGATGTAGAAATCTAAAAATAAAATAAAAGAATAATAAACAGATTTAAACATTAAAAATTTTGCCAAATTATAATAACTTATATATATTTCTACAAAAAAAATTGTATAATAATATATTCGTCCTATACTTAAGTACCCACAGAAATGTCGCATCTGAACATATTAATTTCATAATCTATATTCCATGACACGAGATGGCTTCTTAGGAATAATTTGTTTTATTATTAATCTATAATACTTTTTTATTGATTAGGTATCTTATTAACCGATGAAAAGTAATTCCTTGGTTTTTACTGACATTTCTTGAATTATTTGTGCAATATCTAAGTACTCACGACGGCATATTTTTATGAAGAGATTTTTTTAAATCAACATAACACGGGACAACTCTACAAGCGCCTAGCAAGTGACTGATTAAAGTTCGGTGTATGCACCGCAGTTGAGTGGAACAGAGTAGCTGAATGCAGTGTCACCTCTAGTACGTAGTACATAATAGCTCAATGGCATAAAATCACAAAATGCTGACAGATCCAGATGGCGCTTTAAGCGCCATCTTGAAAAAATGTTTTCAGTCGATTTCTCGGAAATTATGCACTTTATGGCAAAAGTTATAGAAACCATTATTATATAAAATAAAATTTCGCATCTTTTATTTCCAGTAAACTTTTTTGTAAAACTTACCGTTTACGATTTATGGCCCATTTAATGAACCGGTTTTTCTGTCGCGGCCAATAACTCTTGAAATATTAAATTAATCAATAAAATGCATAATTCTATTTTTAAAGATCAGTTTATTTTCTAAAATTTTGTTTGAAACTATTTTTCTAAAGTTCATACTTTTTGAGTTATAGGTTGTTTAATATTTTTTTCTTTTTACAATATACGAACAATTGGATGACAAAATAAAAATAATGTTGTTAAAAGCGAAAAAATCAAATATAATCGCAAAGTAACTAGTAACTTGTTTAACCACCATTAAATTTACAGCGAGCGCTAACCATCTGAGCTACCACAGCTCACTCATTAAATTAAATATACGTAAATGTTAATGCATATAATTAAAAATAAATTATTATTCGTATAAAAACTTAGATCTCCTTATTGATTGATTTTATCTAAAATAAAGCTACAAAATTATTGTAACGCATTTACTAAGCACTTTATTAATGTTTGTTTACGCCAATATTGCGGTAATTGTAATTTACCAAATCAAATACAAACAAATTATATTGTATTGATGCATAACGATACTTTTCTGGACATTATCAAGCTTGTGAATTTCCCTACAGTAAAAATAATTTATTATAACTCCTTAAATAAAACCAGAAAAAAATCTGATAAAAAATACCAAAGTGTATTTCAACCTATAGATTATGAATATAAAATAACGGAAAAACTCCATAATACCACGTTACCAATTTTTATCTCAAAGGCGTCGAAATATGTCTTTACAGTATTAAATTACCACGACGTCAGTAGCGTCGACACCCAGATACATTATTGAAACTAGGATAACGTTTAATTTTTATAACTTCTTGATATTAATATATAGTATACCCGTCGAGAACTAGAAGAGGAACGTGTATCTAAAGCCACCATGAAGGAAAAATTGGCTACTACGGAGTTGCAGCTACGACAAGCACGGGCAAGGATTAATAAAATGGACCGGCAGTTGCGAGAGGCGGAAGCAAGTATTACCAGTCTTACTGTTACTGTAAAGTCATTGGAAGATCAGGTAAATCCACTAATTTAATAAATTTTATCGTAATATTCTACAATACTTTTTCTTCGGCCTAAAAATAAGTAGTCAATTATGAACGTAGAAGAAAGAAATTTTTGGCGTACTCGCTACGTTTGGCAGTTTTAGTAGTTATTCTATGTTTGGCAACCTGATTGGCAACAACAGCTTTATACTCGTAGGTTAAATATGTTCCAAACTCGGTATATGACAGTCACCATTTATTCTACTAAATCCTAAAATGGTAATAGGAATTACATATATAACCCAGACTACTAATTGAATGCAGCCCGGAATCCTTCCGAAAATACGGCATTAGCTCATTATTTATGTTTTTTTTTTAAATAATTATTACTACTTCCTAAATAAACCTTGTCGCAAAACACACAATACCTTCCAAAAGTCTTTTTGAAATTAAAGCCACCGCACTAATATCTGCCAAATGTGACAATAATAATTTTCACACTATTCCCGTGGTAGAATTTAACTATTTCCGTAAGAAAAAAAATGGGATTCAAACCGCATAATGAAAAAAAAACGATTCAAATGAAACAAACTACTACCTTTTTAACCGTTTTTTAGGTTGCGTATATTGGTACATGTAAAGATAGGCATTAAGAGCTAGGATAAAATTAAATTGATAAGATAGTTATTATAGAGGGTGTAAGTGTGAACACCGTTGTCCTTGAAACCAGTGGTTTGGTTTCACTTATAGAACGTAAATTCAATGAAAAATAACAACTTTTTTTTTAGTAAAATCTAAATTTTTCCTTAATTCCTCAATTTTTGCCTATCCTAAGCCAGGATGAAAGTATGAAGAAAAAGTTATATCACTGGTTATGTGTACCTATTGTGTTTTTATGTTGAATGTTATGTAGGTAGCTAGCGCGGGCTCTTTACAGTGATTACGCAACTCGGGCGCATAGGGTATCCATGAATTTACGGACGGTGTCGGACAGAAACTTTTTTAAATTTTATGAAAGAAAATAGCGTTTATTTTTTTTTAATTCATTGAATTCACGTTCTATAAGTGAAACCAAACCACTGGTTTCAAGGACAATGGTGTTTACGCTAACATCCTGTATATGTACTTACAACATACTCTTTAATTAGCCTCAAATAAATGAAGGGTCTAAGATTTTCCTTGCTCTTCACCACGTGTGTATATATGTATCATACAATTTACTTGAAATTTTTATTTTAAGAGTCGTCAAAAAGAAGTACAACTGGAAGCTCGAGCACGAAAGTTAAGGGAATCATTAAAAACTGGGGAAATGACCAATAATCAAATAATGCAACAACGGGATGCACTTGAGAACGAGTAAGATTTTTACAAAATTATTATTTCTTTTACGTACAGGAATGTTCATGACTTCGATAATTTCTCTTTTAATCATCACGCTTTTTGATTAATTTCTCATATACCTATTGCACCGTTAGTTCTAAGATTTGGATTGTTATTAATAAAGTAATGTTTTTGTTTTATTTAAAAAATTATAAAAAATAAAACGGTTGATGGCTTCTGGTATTAAATATAAAACAAAATATTATTCTAAGGCATTTGATAACATTATTAAGGCGTAGCTTTCCGATTGTTGCAATTTTTAACTGTAAAATGCTTTTAAAACTCATTCGTATAGTTACCATTCTCATTGGCGTAATAATGACACTGTTGCCAATATACATTGCTCATCTTATTATTACGGCTTTACCTACAAAATTGCCGTTTTTTATGAAATAACTTATATTTTTTTCTATATGTTTTATTTCTATTAATCAAAGTTATCGATGCTATCGAAGCATCTTTGCCAACGCAGTGGCAGTTTATGTATATTTTTATTATATAGATGCCCTTCTTGAAGAAATCAGTTGGACGGGAGGCAACAAATTCTTCAAAGGCATT